CAACGCTAGAAGCCCTAATACACAGCATTAACAGGATACAAACCATAACCGACAACACACAAACTCCAGAAGATAAACTAGATAACCGGGATCTTCTAAAACTTAAACACTTAAGTTCATCAAAAGACTTTACCAAAAGAGTAAAAAGAGACCCTACAGACTGGGAAAAAATTTTTGGACAGTACAAATCAGACAATCTAATCTCTAAAATCTACAAGAAAATACAACAACTCTACAACAAAAAGACAAATAATCCAATTTAAAAATGAGCAAAGGAACTGAACAGACACTTCACCAAAGAAGACATTCAAGCGGCCAACAGACACCTAAGGAAATGCTCACGATCACTAGCCATTAGAGAAATGCAAATTAAAACCACAATGAGATACCATCTCACCCCGGCATTACAGGCACGAATCAAAAACACTGGAAATAACAAATGTTGGAGGGGCTGCGGGGAGATCGGAACTCTTATGCACTGCTGGTGGGAATGCAAAATGATACAACCATTTTGGAAGATGATATGGTGCTTCCTTAGAAAGCTAGAAACAGAAATACCATATGATTCAGCAATCCCACTCCTAGGAATATATCCTAGAGAAGTAGGAGCCGTCACACGAATAGACATATGCACACCCATGTTCACTGCAGCATTGTTCACAATAGCAAGAAGATGGAAACAACCTAGATGCCCATCAGCAGATGAATGGACAAACTATGGGACATACACACAATGGAGTATTACGCAACGATCAAGAACAATGATGAATCTGTGAAGCAGCTCATAACATGGATGAAACTGGAGGACATTATACTGAGTGAAATAAGTCAATCACAAAAGGACAATGAGACCACTACTGTAAAAACTCATGAAAAAGTTTACACACAAAAAGAAACGATCTTTGTTGGTTACAAGGATGGGAGGGTTGGGGTGGGGGTGAATACTAAATAGACAATAGATAAGTGGTAACTTTGGTGAAGGGTAAGACAGTACACAATACCGGGGAAGCCAGCACAACTTGTATAAGGAAAGGTCATGAAAGCTCCATAGACATATCCAAACTCCCTGAGAGACCAAACTGCTGGGTGGAGGGCAGTGGGGACCATGGTCTTGGGGAATATCTAGCTCAATTGGTATAACAGTTTATAAAGAAAATGTTCTACATTCTACCTTGGTGAGTAGCTTCTGGGGTCTTAAAAGCCTGTGAGCAGCCATGTAAGATACTCCACTGGTCTCACCCTTTCAGGAGCAAGGGAGAATGAAGAAAACAAGATACGAGGGAAAGATTTAGTCCAGAGGACTAATGGACCACAACTACCACAGCCTCCAACAGACTGAGTCCAGTACAACTAGATGGGGCCTGGCTACCACCACTGACTGCTTTGACAGGGATCACAACAGAAGGTCCTGGACAGAGCTGCAGAAAAACGTAGAATAAACTTCTAACTCACAAAAAGAGACCAGACTTACTGGCCTGACAGAGACTGGAGAAACCCCGAGAGTACAGCCCCGGACACCCTTTTAGCTCAGTAATGAAGTCCCTCCCAAGGTTCATCGTTCAGACAAAGATTAGACAGCCCCATAAAACAAAACGAGACTAATGGGGCATAACAGTGCAGGGACAAGGAATAGAAGGCAGGAGGGGACAGCTGGTAATAGGTAACCCAAGGTTGAGAAGGGACACTATTGACATGTGGGGTTGTTAACCATTGTCATAAAACAATACGTGTACTAACTGTTTAATGAGAAACTATTTGTTCTGTAAACCTCCATCTAAAGTACAATCAAAAAAAAAGAAAGAAAGAAATTGCACCTCAGGGCAAAGAGAGGTATGATGGTCATCTACCTCCTAATAAATCAGTCACTACCTCTTCCCTCAGGTCCAATGTCAATCAACTGACATCTATTCCAGATGTCTGCCAGGGAGTTTAACCCCTAGCTTAAATCCCTTCCACGTTTACCAAAAGCTCAGCTGAACCAAAACTACTAATATTCAGAGTGAACCCACTAAAGCATACCCAGTCCATCCAAGTTCCATTATATTCTAAAAATATAATGCTGCATCAAATGAGAAACAAGTAGCATCTAAATTTTGTCATATTGTAAAATTTGCCACCCTCCCCCCCAAATTTTAGTGACTTGCAACTTGCTATGAGGCCAATAGCTTACATTAAAGGTTTTTGTAGAAAACAACCCCACAAACTTATCACTGCATTAAAGATGCCTTTAAAGGATATTTTTTAAATCCTTTTTTACGAAGAGCTATCCAAAGAGAAATATCCATCTGATCTTTATACCAAAACAATTATCATTCTCATAATCAATTGTCTGTTCTTATGTCATAGAAAGTGAATTGTGTATTTCACAAGCTTTTTGTGTCACTTGCTAGAGAGCTTAAATATAAATTTTTGAGTCATTCTCAGCACACATTATAGCTAAGCTATTAAACTTTAGCCTTAATCCTGAATTCACTTGCCCCTCATTCTTGGCCTTTTTCTGCCTCATTTTTAACATGTACTATTTGCTGGCACAGTGGTTGAAGTGCTCAGCTGCTAACCAAAAGGTCAGTGGTTCGAATCCACCAGCCATTACACAGGTGAGAAAGATATGGCAGTCTGCTTCCATAAAGATTTACAGCCTTGGAAACCCCATGGCACAGTTCTCTTCTGTCCTATAGGGTCACTATAAGTCGAAATTGACTCAGTGAATGGGCTACTTCATCATACTTTAGGTACCCTTTTTGTACACAAGGCAGAACGTAAGTAATATACTGATTAATATTTCTAACAGCTTAATTGTTTTTATTTTTCCCCGGTATTCTTATCACTACCTGACATACAGGGTCGCTATGAGTCAGAATTGACTCAACGGCAACGTTTGGTTTGGTTTAGTTATCTGACATATTATGTATTCACTTGTGTATTTATTGTCTGCCTCCCCACTAGAATGCAAGCTCCATGAGGGTTGTTGTTAGGTGCCACCAAGCCAGTTCCAACTCCTAGTGACCCTATGTACAACAGAACGAAACACTCACTGCCCAGTCCTACGCAATCCCCACGATTGTTGCTATGCTTGAGCCTCTCCTTGCAGCCACTGTGTCCATCCATCTCATTGAGAGTCTTCTTTTGGCTGACCCTCTACTTTACCAAGAATGATGTCCTTTTCCAGGGATTGGTCCCTCCTGATAACATGTCCAAAGTACGTAAGACAAAATCTCGCTATCCTGGCTTCTAAGGAGCATTCTAGCTGTATTTCTTCCAAGACAGATTTGTTTGTTCTTCTGGCAGTCCAAAGTATTTTCAATATTCTTCGTCAACAATATAATTAAAATGCATCAATTCTTCCTCGGTCTTCCTTATTCACTGTCCAGCTTTCACGTGCATATGAGGCGACCGAAAATACCATAGCTTTGGTCAGGTGCACCTTCGTCCTCAAAGTGACATCTTTGCTTTTTAACACTTTAAAGAGGTCCTTTGCAGCAGATCTGCTCAATGCAATACTTCGTTTGATTTCTCAACTGCTACTTCCATGGGTGCTGATTGTGGATCCAAGTAAAATGAAATCCTTGACAACTTCAATCTTTTCTCTGTTTATCTTAATATTGCTTATTGGTCCAGTTGTGAGGATTTCTGCTTTCTTTATGTTGAGGTATAATCCATACTGAAGGCTGTGGTCTTTGATCTTCATCAGTAAGTGCTTCAAGTCCCCTTCACTTTCAGCAAGCAAGTTGTGTCATCTGCATATTGCAGGTTGTTAATGATTCTTCCTCCAATCCTGATGCCCCATTCTTCTTCATATAGTCCAGCTGCTCAAATTATTTGCTCCACATACAGACTGAATAAGTACAGTGAAAGGATGGAGCCCTTGTGGTGCAGTGTTAAGGGCTATGGCTGCTAACCAAATGGTCAGCAGTTATCCAGCAGCCACTCCGTGGAAACCCTATGGAATAGTTTTATTCTGTCCAACAGGGTTACTATGAGTCGGAATCGACTCAAGGGCAACGGGTGTGGTTTTTGGCTTGGTTTGGTGAAAAGATACAACCCTGACGCACAGCTTTCCTGGTTTTAAACCAAGCAGTATCCCTTGTTCTGTTCAAACGACTGCTTCCTGGTCTATGTATAGGTTTCTCATGAGGGTAGGGACATTGTCTTTTTTCACTGCTATATCCCCAGCATCTAGGATAGTGCTTGCACACTACATTAATCATACTTACAAAATGGAATGGTCATAAAAGCAAACTATAGCTTATGCCATATTATTACATAATAATACTTTCCTTAAGAGAAAATTGATCCTCAGCCTTTGACATTTTAGCATTAGTCTGAAAGAGATCATATGTACTTAATAGAGAGATCCCACTATTTGGAAATGTTCTATACGCCTACAAGCAAGATTGATTGGTCTAATCTTGAACATTTTCACCTAAGAAAATACTCTGAAATATAAAAAATACATTGTGCACAAAGATACTGATAAAATTTATTTACAATAGAAAAAAATCTAAAAATAGAAAAATATCCAATGATAGAGAAATATTTAAACACATAATAATATATTCACATCATGTTGTACATATAGCCATTAAAAATTATTTATGAAGATTTTAATAACTTGGAAAAATACGTTAAATGAAAAAAGAAGAGGATATTTAAAAGCTCACATAAACACTGTGAACCCAACCCATAAAGAAATAAATCAACAAAACAGAAAAAGGCTGGTAGTAAATAAACCAACATACTATAAATATTAATCGTCTTTGCCTCAGAGATGTGCAATTGAGATAGTTATTATTTCTTTACTTTCTTCTAGACTTTGCAAGTTTTGTATAATCAACATATTATTTTACAACAAAAGACCAATTTTTCAATCCAAAGGTGACAAAAGTCTATGTTATTTTCATTAAAATCTTGAAAAAATTCTGTTCATTTTCTACAGGAAAATAAGCACCTTATTTGCAACGTAAAATAACAAAGCATTACTAATAAGATAAATACTTTACCTTCACTGCCACGTGAAGTTTTGCTGTTTTCTTGGATGGTCCTGAGGCTTCATATGTTGTGCCATCCACATCTACAGACATTGTGAAAACGGGGGCATGAACAGGGCCAGACTGAGATAAGAGCTTATACTGAAGCCCAGGCCTGATCTGATTTAGCCTCATTAGTGCATTCATAAGGTCTATTGCTTTACTGTCCAGAACTGTTAAAGAAAGAGGAATGGGATCAGAAATGAACTAGAAAATCATTTTTTGCTTTAATCTGCACATTCATAGGTGCCTAGTAATCAGTGTAAGTGGACCAGGTTTTTAAAAAGCAAGAGTTTCAAAAGGCACATATGAGCGTAAGTCAAAAAGTACTGCTTCAAAATCATAAAAACCTTCATTAAACAAAAATATCAAAATGTGAAGCTACTGTCTCTCAATATATCCTCTATCTAGGTCTATACACTTCTGAAGGCAGTGTTTCCAGCTCTCTAACCCTTCCCCTAAGAATTCTGTTCTCTTTGATTTACACGACATCAAAACAGCAGTTTTGGCATCCTCAAGGAACTCAAATCGTGTTCCTTTTAAATGTTCTTTGAGTTTGGAGAACAAAAAGAAGTCTGAAGGGGCAAGATCAGGGCTGTAGGGTAGATGGGGTAAGGTTTCCCAACGAAATTGTCATAGGACATCTCTTGCTACCCTCAAAGAATGAGCAGCTGCATTGTCGTGATGGAAAAAAAATTCCTCAGTGCAAATTTCCTGGCCTTTTTCTCACCAATGCAGTTTTCAATATTCTTAAAACGTCTTCATAATAAGCCCCTGTGATCATCCTGTGTCCTTTGAGAAAATCAATCAAGATTACCCCTTTGGAATCCAACATACAGTCGCCATAACCTTCTGAGCGGTCTTCCATCTTTTGGCTCATCTTTGAGGTCTTTCTGACCCTCCTTAAAACTCTTGAACCATCTAAAAACTGTTATTTTATGTGGGGCAGCATTCCCATAAACACACTGCAAAGCTTCACTGATTTGGGAAGATGTCCACTTGAGTTCTGTTAAAAATTTGGTATTAGCCCTGACATCAAAATTGGTTTTTATCCACGGCACAAAAGGTATCTTTTCTGAAGGCACCCTAACAAGACTAAGACAAGTGTATTACTGAAAGAACTTGTCTGCAGCCATCCACTGATCGCAGTGACACGTTTAAACACATTTTATTTGGAATAAACTCATGTATGTATGAACCAGAACCCTAGTAGCAATACTTTTTTACTTACCCTCATACAAATTAACTTCACTTCCTAAGTAATTATGAAATTACTTTTAAAGTTATTATGCTAACATCTTTGTAAGAACAACCTGCATTACTATATTTATACACTAATTTTAACTTTTCAATATTAATGTATCTTAAGCAATGAAGCATCATAAAAACAGAGAAGTCATAATCATCAACTTCTCAGTTAAGATCTATTCTTAAAAGTCCAATTCAAATCAATTATATTCTTCATTTTTTAATTTTTATTTTCCTATCTAAGGGTATAAATCCTTTCTAGTTCACATCTGTTATAGCTGAAAAGAAAACTAAGAATAAAGGTTTTACACACTTTTCCTTAAGTTTCGTTTCATCTTCTTGTTGGGATCTTTATCATCCCCTGATCCATCCTCAAATGGCCTCTTTAGAGCTGAAGACCCAGCACCTTAAAAAAAAAATGAGAGATTCATTACAGTCAAAACGATGCTTCTACTTATTCTACCAAATGTTATCTACTACGTTCAGGTGGGAAAATCTTGGGAATCACAAGTACCATACAACTTTTTCATTGAGCAAATTATCAGATTTATGATCTTGTAATTGCAAAAATTTTGAAAGCAAATCTACTATGTGCAAGACAAATTTTAGGTGCTTGAAACTGTTTAATATTATCCCTTTTTTATATTTGTTTTTCTATTTATTCATCTATACACATACAAATATCTATGCCTATATTCACACATGTATACACATGAACAGAAAACCATCTGGAAGAATACAGTTGGCCCTCCGTATCTGCAGGTTCTCCATCCGTGGATTCAACCAACTGCAGACAGAAAAAAAAAAGTGCCAAAAAGCAAAACTTGAACTTCGTGCGCCGAGCACTACACTGAATCCACTCAGCCTCTATGCGCACTACAGTGAGGGGGTTGAGGAGAGCGAGAGGAAGAAGTTTAAGGCTAGTAAGGGATGGCTGGAAAGCTATGTGAAGTGCTACAGCCTCAAGAACATCAAGATCACAGGACAATCAGTATCTGCTGATGCTGCTCAGCGTTCCCAGAAGAGCTCAAGAAACTCAGAGAAGAGAAAGGCTACCTTCCAGAGCAAGTCTTCAATTGTGATGAAACAACTACTTACACAGCATTTACACTGTATTAGGTATTATAAGTGATCTAGGGATGATTTAAAGTATATGGGAGGATATGTGTAGATTATATGCAAATACTATGCCATTTTATACAAGGGACTTGACCATCCATGGATTTTGGTATCCGTGGGGGTCCTGGGAACCAATCAATCCCCCTCAGATACAGAGCGACAACTGTATATATCAAAATGTTAAAGGTAGTTATCTCTGGTAGGGTTTATTTTTACTTAAGTCTTTTCAAAGATTTCTATCATTTAACATTTATTAAATGTATAAACTTTACGAGTCCATATGTTAAATCATATGCTTTTAGAAATCTGATTATTTATCAAACTATAAAATATTCTCCTGTCTACCCAGTCAATGCTATTCAAGATTTTATTTACAGTTCACCTCTTCCATGAAGCCCTCTTCAGCTTTTCTCTAATATCAACTTTCTAAAAGAGTTTCTATGCTATCAGAAATATAAAGTACCATATGTGTTCTTGTATCATTGCCTATTTCATATATATAGTTCTAGTATGTCCTGAGAACTCTCTGAAGGTCAAAGATATTTTCTCATTGTCTCACATCTTACAAATTATCACAAAAGTTAGAAACCACATAATGGGTATGAAATAAAAACTAACTGAACTGACATTAATCAATTTCTTGGATAAAGTAGCTAGTTAATAACACTGTCAGGCATAAGGCAGGAGCTCTGCTATCCAACTTACAAAGAATCAGAGAAAAAAAGCTCATATGTTCTGAACCTAAGTACTTCAAAGAAGTCTGCATCTTCACAGATACAGCTGTAAAACATTCCTAACTTAAGCCCCTCTTAAAAGTTGATTGCTGGGTTTTTCCTAAAGGAAAGTTATACTCAAGAGATTCATGCCACAAGATTTCCAGATACTTCTAGCAAAAGCTTGCTATAATACTGAGATTAACTATATATTCTCTGCTCATCAAGATTTATTGTCCCTTGGGGTAAACACTGATTTCAGCTTTTGCCTGGGTCAATACTTACCACCCAGGTCAATCAATCTTGATGTTCTCTTCAACAGAAGGCAGTATCTGCTTAGTATTGTATTTTATTTGCATTACATAAAACTGTTGAGTGTGCCAGTCTCCCAGAATGCAATGTTTAAGGGATAAAAGTTAAAAAGGAACTATGTCTATTCAACACTCTCCTGCTCATTAAGTTACAAAAAGCAGCTTCCTGATTGCCTGGAAATCACAAACTGGCTGAAAACCACAAATCTATTCTCTAAATCCTCCAATTACATAAACAGAGCTCCATAGATTAAGCTTCATTCTACCATCTTGGCCTCTAGAAAAGAGATATAAAGTCATCATCATATTATCATTAATAGTAATCTGGTGGGGGGGGAGCTAATCATAATAGTAATCTGAAAAAAAAGGGTTGCTTTACAAAAATAGGTTTAGCTTTCAATCTCTTCAGTATCTAGTAATGAGAAGTAATCATTTCTGAGACAAAATTTTTGAAGATAACATTTGAGTGCTTGCCATGTACCTGGTACTGTTCTTGGTACTTTAGCTACTATAGTCATTCATTTAATCCTCACAAGTACTCTACGAAGCCAGTACCTTTATCATCCCATTAAAAATTCATTCATCAACAAATATTAACTGAGCATCTATGTGCAAGACAATTTTTAGGTGCTGGACATATAACAAGGAACAAAACAATGTCGCTGTTCTCAAAGAGCTTATGCCATAATGGGAAATAATTATAGCATATCAGATGGTAGCGAGTGCAATGGAGAAAAATAATGAGACTTGAGGAGGAGGAGCTGTTCCTATTTTATACTGATGAGATGACCCTTTAATGAAAAACTGAAGAAAAGTAAAAGAGTGAGCTAATCATCTATTTGGGGAAACAGAGTTCAAGGCAGAGAAAACAGCAAGTACAAAGGTCTTCAGACAGGAACATGCTAAGAAACAGCATTAAGGCCTAAGTGGCTTGAGTGGTATGAACAAGGAGGGGGTAGTTGTAAATGAGGAAAGCCATATCATATAAGGCAGTAGTTCTCAACCCTAGCTGCCATTAACTCACCAAAGGAACTTTTACAAAATACCAAGGTTCTACTTTCAGTGAGATGGAGTAAGTAAATCAGAAGAACCTTCCTGATGAGCATTAGAAAAGCTGAACAAAATGTAAAATAATTATCTGTTTCTAGACAATAAAGAATTACGGAGTCAAGATGTGGGAGATGAAGGAAACCTAGCACTGGGGGCCACATTTCCCCTAGAGGCATCTTCCAAATCCAGAAGAGGCCGCTAAGAACTAAGCAGAGTACTTTCCGCAGGCTCCCAGGGCTCAAGGGTCCAAAACTGAAGTTCAAGGACCACCAAGAAGGGAAGGTTTGGTAAATTCCCGACACTCTGGGTTGGATCTTTAAAGTGTTATACAGTAAAAGTAAGATGAGCTAGAAATAGTCTAGACCTCACAAGGGCTAAAGCCAGGCTTCAATCATCTTAATCCCTGATTGCAGGAAGCGATCCACCATTGCCAGTCTCACTAGTCATCTCCCAGAAGCAAAGATAAATCCTCCCTGGAGGAAGATAACATTACTGTAGGGTTTAACTTCTCTACAGGTTTTCATTTAAACTCTACAGCACTCATAATAACCAGGCACATGAAAAGACAAGGCACTGTGATCCAAAATCAAGAGAAATAGTGGACAACAGAAACAGACCCAAGAGGAAACCAGATGACAGAGTTTTAAAACCAAACTTTATTAAAAAGAATGACCAGAATATTCAAAAAAATAAAAGACGAAGAATTTTGGCAGAAAATCTGAAAATAGAACCAAATGTAAATACTAGAAATGCAAAATACAATATAAACTAAAGACTGGCAGACCTACAAAGGGGAGTAGACAAATCCACGACAGAGAAGAGTTAACACACCTCTCTTAATAATTAACAGGACAAAAAAATTAGTACAGTGTATAAGACTTGAACAACACAATGAACAAATATGACCTGACAGGTAAAGAACATTCTGACTAACAACTGCAGAACATACATACTTTTTAAGAGCGTGAATCATTTACAAAAACTGACCATGTGCTGGGCTATAAGTCTCAACAAATAACGAAGGAAAGAAATCATACAGAGTATGTTCTCAGATCACAATTGAATAAGTGAAAATTAAAAAATGGGTAACTAAAAAATCTCCATTTGTCTGGAAATTAAGTAATGACATCTAAATGGCCATGGGTCAAAGAACTGACAACGAATACTACTGTCAAAAATGTAATGCACATAAATCTGTGCTTACAGGGAAATTTACAACGTTAATAATATACAGTAAGAGGCTAAAGAATCAACAATTTATTCATCCATCTTGAACAGTTAGAAAAAGAACAGCAAATTAAACCCAAAGAAAAGAGGAAGAAGGAAAAACTAAGAATAAGAGCAGATACTAATGAAACAGACTACATCTAATTCACAAGAACCTGTCTTTTGTAAACTGCTCACAAAAATCGGTACATAATTGTTCATAGCAGCTATATTTGTAATAGCCAAAAACTCGAAACAAACAAAATGTCTTACAATAAATAAATGGTTCAACGGTGGCTCATCCAAACCATGGAATACCGCTCAGCAAGAAAAAGAAATGAACTACTGGCACACAGAATAAATTGGATGGATATTAAGGGCATCATTCTGAGTGGAAAAAAAAATCTCAAAAGTCTCCTACTGTATAATTCCATTTAGGGAGAGAGAAGTGGGTGTGACTATACGGGGATGACATGAGGGAGTTCTCTGTGGCGATGGGAGAGTTCTGTATCTTGTTTGTGGTGACGGTTATACCAATCTACAAATGTGATAAAATGGCATAAAACTTATACACAATTTCCTGGTTTTGGTATTGTACTATAGTGATATAGATGTAATCACTGGGAGAAACTGAGTGAAGGATACACGGTAGGGACCTCTCTGCACTATCTTTGCAACTTCCCATGAATCCACAATTATTTCAAAGTAAATAGTTTTTTTTAAAAAAAAGAAATGCTGCTTTGTTGATAACATACTACACAGGTACAGTGAAGAAAGGAATTTGGATTTTGGACATCTTAAATGTGATATGTGTCCTAGACATCCATATGGAGATACTGAGGAGGCACTTGGAAATTTGGGTCTTAGTACAAGGGGTAGTCTAGGCTGAAGATATAAATTTGGTACTCTGCAGTGTATAGAAGGTATTTAAAGACAAAAGATTATATGATATCCACTAAAGAGTCAGTACAGATTAAGGAGAAAAGAGGTCTAAGGACTGAGTCCTAGGATATTTAGAGGTCAGAAAGGTAAGGAGGAACAAAGACAACTGAAGAGAGGTCAGTGGAGCTAGAAGAACCAAGAGAAAGTAATAACTTGGAAGTCAAGTGAACAAATATGTTTCCAGTCAGAAAGAGTGTCTGACAATACCAACTGTTGTTGAGGATATAATGCAACGGGAACTTTCATATACTGCTGGTGTATGACCAACTTACTAGGTCATATACTGACCTAGAGTAATTCCTGCATATGTGTCCCTTTTATGAGTCATAAGAATACCCATAGCAGTATTGCCAAAAACTGAAAAGAACCCATATGTTCTTCAGAAATAGAATAAATTGTAGCATATTCATAATGGATACTATATAGCTATTAAAATGAATAAATAATAGCTATATGCAGCAACATGAATGAATCCCAAACAATGCTCGACAGAAAGGAGATAGTCACAAAAGAGTAAGTTCCGTATGATTCTCTTTCTATAAAGTTCCAGGCAAAATCCAATTAAATTGTTTAGGAATGCATATACAGGTGGGAAAGCTATAAAGGAAATCATCAAAAAACAGAAATGGTAGCTTCTTGGGGTGAAGAGGTGATGGAGAGGGATACACGTGCATGGCTTCTGAGGGGCCGATAATGTTCTGTTTATAACTTGGGGGTGGGGGGGAGTTGATTATACAAATTTTTTTTAAACTATTTTTTTATATTTGTATATATATGTGTGCTATATTTCATAATAAAACAAATATAGGAGAAAAGAAGAATGTGTTCATCCATGTCAAATGTTGCTGAAAAGTTGACTAAGATGAGGACTGAAAACTAACCACTGAATTTAGCAATGTCACAAGAGGCACTATGGTAAGAGTGGTTAGGAGGAAGGCCTGATTAGAATAGGTTCGAAGAGAACAGAAAGTAAGGAAAAGGACAAAAAAAGTATAGGTCACTCTTTCCAGAAGTACTATAATAAAGGGGAGCAGAGAAATGGGACTCAATCGATGGGAGCTGTAGAATCACAGAAGGATTCTACTTTGATTTTGTCTTCCTCATGGGAGATATTACAGCAGGTATTTGTGCTGATGCGAATGATCAGGTAGAACTGGGAAAAACTGATGCTGGTGAGAGAAGACGGCACTTACAGGCAAGAAGGGATGTGATGTAGTATACAAGTAAAAAAGTTGGTCTTAAGACAGTTAATCTATAGCCAAGGAAGAGAAGGCAAAGTATAGAGTAGATGCAGCTATGTTAGTAGATGGAGTGGTGAGAACATGTAGAAGTTCTCTTCTGAGAAAACAGAAGTAAACAAGGGTCATTAAATGAAAGTGCCAGGGTGGAAGAGGAAGTATGAGATAAGAGAAGATGCTATCTAGGAATAGTTATCTAGGAAAACTGGAGAACTCTAGAACTTATAGGAGGATTGCCAGACAACACAAGTAGTCTATTTGAGATTAGCATCATAGACGGAAAGGGTGAACAGTCAAGGTGGCTGTATGTTTTCTCCAACCATGTTCAGCAACTTGGTAGAGGCACAGAGTAGGAAGAGATGTCTTAGTAGGAAGATGTCTTAGTATTTATTATTATGTAAACAGTTCTGACCTTGTAGACTCCCTGAAAAAAGTCTTTAGAATTTTGTCATGAATAGAAGACCAAAGAAGTGAAGGTATATTCTAATGAGTGATTGTAATGATGGACCATGGAATATAAGCAGGGTAAGAACAGAATATGAGAAAGATGAGGGATGAGAAGTGAAGGATGAGGATGAAAAGGTGGTACAATGGTGAGATTAAAGAACTAGAGTACTAAAGGTACTAGACAGAGTGAGGACAAGAGCTGGTAAGAGAGTAAAATTTATCAAGAGAGTGGGTACAGTTATTGGTGAAGACAAGGTCTAGGGTATGACCATGGAATGCGTAACTGAGGTAAGGTGGAAGACAAAATATTTGTGGGAGAGGAAATCAAGGAATTAAGAGGCCAGGCTTTTGAAAAAAATCATCTGCATGTATACTGAAATCACCAAGAATTACTGGAGTAAAGTTTAAAAGCAAATGTCCAGAAGGCAGGTCCTAAAAACATGAAAATATGAGGGACAGTGCAGGAAGGGTTTGGAGACAATGGCCTGGGTGATATCATCTTCTAGCCAAGGCACAAAATAGTTAAGTGACTTGCTCAAGGTCACGCAGCTAGTAACTGGTAGAGCTAGGATGGAACAACTAGCAGTCTGGCTCTGTTTTATGCTATAAATTGGCAGGCCAATTTTCCCAAACTTGAGAAAGAGCTTTAAAGTTAAAAAAAAGAAAATTATAGTCACATAACAGCAGATATGCTTTTACCATCTAGTAATGGAGGAAAAAAAAAAACTACTATGAATTCAGAGACTGAAATAAAATTTTGTTACTAATCATAAGAATGTGTGTGTGTGTGTGTGTGTGTGTGTATTTTATTCAATCTACACACAATGATTGGCATCATATAGATTCGTGAATCCCTTCCAATAATTCTTTGCTACTGTGTGAGTCCTTTTTCCCCTGGAAGAAAATGGCTTTCATTCCACAAACATTTACTGAGCATTAGTATGCTTGTAATAATGATGTGGTAGGACGTGAAGGACTCCTTGCCCCCAAAGAGGTTACAGTCTAAGGTAGTGATTCTCAAACATTTTGGTCTCAGAATCCCTTTACACTCTTAAAAAATCACTGAGGCCCACAAAGGGCTTTTGTTTTGTGGGTATATCTATCAATATTTAGCATATTAGAAATTAAAATTTTTTTTGTTGTTTTAATACCCAAGAAAATATTCTACCAGCCATCAGAAAAATGATGTCATCACATATCACACGTAGCCTCTGGAAAACCGTACTGTAACACTCATGAAAGAAAGAGTAGAAAAGGAAAAAAATGTCTTAGTATTTATTATTATGTAAACATTTCTGACCTTGTAGACTCCCTGAAAAAAGTCTTTAGACCCACTGGAATTCTGTTGCCTAAATAAATACACTGAGCCATGGCACTATTTTTCATACACAGAAGAGGTGGGTTTGGTCCCAGGTGAAGAATATCTGGTGTTAAACATCCCACTATCCAGTATAACAGGAAATGAAAGAAAAAAAACAAATAAAAGAGGTTAATTTTGTGTGTGTGTGTGTGGCATAGTAGTAGAGTGAGTGAATTTGTATTTATCTGCTGTACTCCAGGCACTGAGTTGGGCATTTTAACCTGACAACAGCTAATAAAGTAGGAGGTAATATTCCTACCGACGAAGATGAAGTAATTGCTCAAGGCCTAAACCTAGTAAGTAGTGTAGATATAACTGGAACCCAGGTCATACTGACCCAAAGCCTGTGTTCTTTCTGTTGAAACTCTGAGTTCAGTCAGACTAGTATAAATGGAGGTCCCTAAGTCTATGTAGTAATGGAATCTGGCCCACATAGACAAGTGAGTTTGTCACTACTAAGAATAAATGATAGCAAGCTGATGTCACCGATAGGGACAGAAGAGAAGAAAGTCAGAAAGAAAAGCAATCAACTTTCTTATACGTGACTTGGATTAGCAATTTTTAAGTTCTCTAAGCTCTAACAAGAGATGCATCCCACGAATATCCCCCGCTGCCAACCCCCAGACCAAATAAAAACTTTTCACACTCACCTTCTTTATCAGTAACTGACCAGGAATATTTCTGAAAAGGCTTACTAGATGGAACAGGGTCCATCTCCAGCACTTTATAAATCTGGCCAAAGGCTGATAGTCTGAGTGCATGCTGTGCACTGTGGGTAATATCCTCTTTCTGCTGAGTGGTCATGTAGCTCAGAGCATCTGTTGGGTCTCGCTCACAAGGATCGTGAAGACCAGGACCCCCAGGAAGTAGTATTCCAGATGCCAAACACTCCATTACTCGTCTCAAGGCCTCCCCAGCGCCCAAAGGTCTATTACAAGTACCTATAGACTTTTCACATATAAGCTCTAGTGGCCATCCTTTTAATGGTGCCCGTGTGGGGACTCTGTTGCACAAATCTCGAAGAATGCGGAGGACAATTACACATGATTTTAATCCATTTGCCCTTGCCTGAAACCATTTGGCATGTCGAAGAGACGCCAAGGCATTCAGGCATTTCTGCCTGTCCAATAAATCCGGAGGATCTTTCATCGCAACATTTTCTAATGGTAAAATGGGACAGAGAGAGACAGATACAATTTGACCAAGGGGCTCCTATCAAATTACCAAACAATAAAAATAAAAAGAATAGCAGCATCTGAGTGAGCTAATAAGACTCCCAGAAGATTTCATAGCTTAGCTTTGTTGCTTCTTTTTTTGTTAATTATGTGCACTATGATTTTTTAAGTTTAACAACCATTAGAGTAGCTCTGTGCTAAATACAAGACTTACTCAGTAAGCATTCAGTAAACAAATCAATGACTACTGCAATGTACAATCTGGGATCTTATTAAGCATATATAACATCATAGGGCACAAAATAGGTACATAGCACTTCTTCCTTTGGTGAATAGAAAAATTCAGAAAAAAAGGTAAAAAATCTCTCTGTTGTCTCCCAAAACCCAATAGCTTTCTTCTATACTGGGAGAGCCAGATTTTGTTCCACATTCTCCCAAGGATAGGTTCTGATTTGAGAAAAAAGAAAAAAAAATCTCTCTAATAAATCCCAGTGATATGCCCAGTCTCACACCTGTGCACTGTGGGTAATATCCTCTTTCTGCTGAGTGGTCATGTAGCTCAGAGCATCTGTTGGGTCTCGCTCACAAGGATCGTGAAGACCAGGACCCCCAGGAAGTAGTATTCCAGATGCCAAACACTCCATTACTCGTCTCAAGGCCTCCCCAGCGCCCAAAGGTCTATTACAAGTACCTATAGACTTTTCACATATAAGCTCTAGTGGCTAGAAGATATTAAATTACAAATTAGTACATGCACCAAGTGTTAAAAGGATTCCAGTTAAATGTGAGCAGACATTACTATCTACAAGTGAGGCCAAAAAGTCTAAGTGAATTTAACATTTACGGCCCACTTAACTTTTCCCCCATAGGTGATTATTAACTTTTACCCCAGCCAGAGTTTTTAAGCTGAGCATTTTTGAGATAATAGAAGATATTTTAGATATTCAGATCCCTAAAGGATCACTAAAGAAACTATGGTCATCTAATTGATTTAACAAGGGTTTAACAACTCATGTAAGTTAGTAACAGCTAATAACTAGTCAATGTACAAACCCAGACCACTTATCTCCCGCTCAACTTAGGAAGCACTCAAACCACAAATATCTCAAAATAAGAATAAGACTTCATTTCAGACTGCCCCAATTAGAATAAACAAAAAACTAAATCTCCATGTTTAATAAACTAAAAACTCATAATACTATGTCAAAGTAGTAATTGCTAGATTAATTTATAAATGACCTTTACAGAATTAAATTGGTTTATAAATGTCCTTTGTTGTGGTCTTGATTGGGTCAGGCATAATAATTTCCAAATTAAGGTTTGCAATATACATGATACACAATATCCAAAATCAGGTTAAGTATAGTGCTTGCCTGACTTTAATTACTAACATGAACTTATTTTTAAGTGTCTACATTCAGAGAAAGGGAAAGAAGGTAAAGAAGCCTTATACTGACATATCAGGTAATTTTATTTTAAATGGAAATAGGCATTGAAAGAGAAATGTGCCAGTCAAGCAGGTTTCCATGGGTAGTAGGTGAATAGTAATCAACCATCAATACAGAGTAAAAATGCAGGGAAGATATTCACCTCTGAAAGGTATAAAACCTTTTTGTCATAAAAAATATCTCGGGCTCTATGACATGAATATGACTAGACAGAAGAGACAGGTTATATGCACAAGAATTCATATAAAAAGATGCTAATTTTTTTTTCCAGAGCAAAAGTAGATAATGCATGCCTTACCTAACTCAGAATATAGCCATTTTACAGTGATATGTAATTTCTACAGGATTTCCTCTGACTACAGCTTCAGAGTTTGCTTTTAATCATATTTATGTACTTACCCATCCTTTTAATGGTGCCCATGTGGGGACTCTGTTGCACAAATCTCGAAGAATGCGGAGGACAATTACACATGATTTTAATCCATTTGCCCTTGCCTAAAACAAACAAAATGATTCCAATATCCCTGTTGAAAAACATTCTTCATTTTAAGCACACTGATCATGGGTAGGTTCTTTACAGTGAATACTAATTAGCCAATTAGTTGTCAAGCAAACCAAAAAATCAACTTATCAAAAGTAGTAAAATTTTGGTTTAGAAAGGCAGATTTAAAAGTAAAAGAAGCATAATATTAAAATTGCTTTGGTGGCCTCATGGCAACCCCATTCCAGGCAACTATCTCACCAGTGTTTGTATTTTATAAGCCATCATTTGAAATTCAGAGTATTAAGCCAAAAATAATTACATAATAATATCATTAACTACGGTAAAACCTATATTAGGCACTTGACCTAAATTAACTCATTTACTCTTAGAACAACTCTGTGAGGTAAAAAATACCTCCATTTTATATATTACACAGAAACCATTAAGTGGCAGGTGATCCAAATGAAACCCACCCAAGCCTACAATAACAATAAGATAATAACAAAGAGCCAACCTGAAACCATTTGGCATGTCGAAGAGACGCCAAGGCATTCAGGCATTTCTGCCTGTCCAATAAATCCGGAGGATCTTTCATCGCAACATTTTCTAATGGTAAAATGGGACAGAGAGAGACAGATACAATTTGACCAAGGGGCTCCTATCAAATTACCAAACAATAAAAATAAAAAGAATAGCAGCATCTGAGTGAGCTAATAAGACTCCCAGAAGATTTCATAGCTTAGCTTTGTTGCTTCTTTTTTTGTTAATTATGTGCACTATGATTTTTTAAGTTTAACAACCATTAGAGTAGCTCTGTGCTAAATACAAGACTTACTCAGTAAGCATTCAGTAAACAAATCAATGACTACTGCAATGTACAATCTGGGATCTTATTAAGCATATATAACATCATAGGGCACAAAATAGGTACATAGCACTTCTTCCTTTGGTGAGGGGGGAAAAGGAAAAATCTGGGAACAACAGCAATAACCATTTTTCTTTATAGAAAGGATTTTCATCACTGATCAATTCCTGAAGGAAGTTGGGGCTCTCTAATAATTAATTTGGGATATACTCAATGAGAATACACATTTTTTAATACAACTAAATAAACTCATCGACAAGATGACCATTAATATAAGCTTTACCCCACTGATGAGAAGATAAATCCCTCAAGTGTCACCATGGACTTTTCTCATTATTTCTTTTCTAAATCAAAATTATTAAAACTACAAAGATAGAATACATTTCAAGTTTTATACACCCTTCTTAAAAAGGCAACAAAGAATACTGTCCCATTACAACTATTTGATTTGTCTAAACATTTTAAAGTTGGATTAGATGACCCAAAGCCAAAAAATTAAAATCCAAACATGATTAATGGCAAATATCCATATTTGGAGAAGATGTCACATGATGCTAAATCTAAGTTTAGACAGCCAAACTGATTTCCTCTAAGATACTAGGAAATAAGTTTTCTAATGTTTTGACGACTTGGGGCATTATTTAAATGCATACAATATACAAATGTTTTTGAGGGATAATTGTCTAATCCAATTAAGTCACTCTCTTTTGAGAACTCTCTTAAATGTAAGAAAGTCCACCAAAACCTATTCCTAGCATAAACATGATAGTAACAGACTGGGTAGTATGTCTGTGTGCACCAACTGATGCAATGCACATATCTTTTAAATGGGAGACAGTATCACTGGTACTTTTTGGTTTCCTGAGTTATTGCAGAACTGTATTATGGTAAATTCAATGTATATTCTAATTGATAAAATGCCATTAACTAAAACTGAAGGCATAATGCCCAATAGAAAACAAATCTATTAGAGGAAAAACTGTGGCTGTTTTTACTGGCTGCAACACTCTAAAGGCTGAAGCGCTACACACTTATTTTCTGACCAGGTGAGCTCCACAGCAGATATCTGCATTGTTTCCCATCAATCCCTGCTGACAAAATGGCAACACAGGATATCATTCCAATACCCACTTTTCTCATAAAATGGGAAGCCTCAAAAAGAACTGTTAATGTGCATTTATAAACATAAAACAAATATGATATGGGTATTCACGTCATAGGCAATCTAGCTCTTGGACTTACTCAATTTTGTCTTTGTAGTGACACAAAATACACAACGAACTCACTTTAATATTTTCATGGCAAAGTGTTTAACTGTGGTCAATACAAGTATCCACGTAAAGCTCACATACCAGATAAAACAAACAACTATAAATGAATGATTAGAATCACTTAAAAGTTAGACATGACAAAGGTTGACTGGCTGCTAAGTAAGTAATGTAATCCCAAGAAAAGGTACGGACTTTGCTTTGCTTTTTTTTTTGGAGCCCTGGTGGCACAGCAACTAAGAGCTCGGCTACTAACCAAAAGGTCGGCCGTTTGAATCCACCAGCCACTCCTTGGAAATTCTATGGGGCAGTTCCACTCTGTCCTGTAGGGTCACTATGAGTTGGAATCAACTCAACAACAACGGGTTTGGTTGTTTTGGGTTGCTTTTTTTTCCTTAAAGACTTCGATTCTTAAATTAAGTGATGCAAGCTAAGTTTTATTCTATCATCTCACCAAGTAGGGATATCAGGAAGGGGGTGGGGGAGGTGATAGAAGAAAGAAGAGGAGCAAAGGAAGTAGGGATACAAAAAGACAAGGCAAACCAAAGATCCTTTTGCATTTGCTGGTACTTTCATTCTGTGGTCAGAGCTTGTAAATAATATCTTATTCTCATTCTGACACAGATATTTTTAAAGGGGTCAAAGCAAAAATATTTAGACAAATTCTTCCATCCCCAACGTCAGACTCTAACCACAGACTCTTATTTTAAAAAATTTTAAAAATAGGGACATCAGCTTGCTACAGACAGTCAACATTTGGAGGCAGTAGATTGATTCTACTAAAAAGAGATGAAAGAGACAGGCAGTGAACAGAAGACATGCACCAGATTCCCTTTTCCATCACCATCAGAATGGCCATGTTTCTTCATGCTCTGATAGTCAGAAAGACAAAAGAGTCAAAAGATTTCAATACTCATGAGGTAGCAAACAGCAGAGGACATATCATCATTCATCTAACTTTACCATCTTCAAAGTTTCTTAACACTGGAACAATATAAATTCATATGTATGGTAATGCAGTACTACTTATAAGTTTAGCTTGCCTATTTCTTTATATAATTAATAACAGACAGTTACGTATATTTTCATTAATTAAAAAAAATGACTTCTTAATGTGGCAATCACAGAATTACTGCTGGGAAAATTGCTACTTCTGGTAGCAGTACTGCAGGTTTAATATTTCCATATGAACTTTAACGTAGATTTCCAATTTTGTGGGGAAGCAGAGCTTTTCTGATAAAAAGGGATCTTGGATCCTTAATTAGGAGCAATATATGATCCATTCCATATTTTCCTACAGTGACCAGTGAAACAGATAAAAAATGGCCTGGGCGTGGCAGTGGGTGGGGGGCATACAAAAATGCAAAGAGCAAAGAAAAAAAAGCTATGGAAAATGTATGTCTCAGTAACCCAGCATCAGGGCATGAAGGTACACGTAACATTCTGAACAATGGAAGCACTGAAAAAAAAAGTCCATTATGCCTAACCTTGTTTATTTGGTTAGAGGTTAGATAAGTGACTAAAATATCACGCCATATTGCAGGAAATATTGGTCAGTTTCTCTCAATCCCCCTTAACATGCAAGCTAACAATCTGCCCTTGTTAACAAAACCTAGCCTGGATATAGGACAGCAAAAAAGCCCGAATACAACTTCTTTAAACAAGAGTTACATATATCTGGAACCTGGGCTCTTCAAAGGTAAAACAATTGAGCTGGGTTATCATGAGGGACTTCTCACAATCTGGACGAAGCTGACCTACTGAGTTCATGCTGACAGAATTTTCTAATTAGCCTGAAGTTACCCTTCTCTCTCAATTCTTTGAGGCTTTCTGGAAAGAAAGACATTATGCTCCAAGCCATTGTCTGTGTAAAACATCAGGACACAATAAGTGGACAGGTAAATGTAACAATAAGGTACAAGAGAGATCACTGTTCTCCTAATTTATGTTAGTAATATCACTCATATGACTTTTCTTCAATGCCTCACTGGGCAGTTAACCACTGGAAAGATCATGGCTAAGGGCTGCTCTGGATCATGTAGGTCTAGCAGCTGTGGAGGGTAGGAAAATAAAGCAGGCAGCATCATTATAATCTCAGCTGTGATCTTTCCACTGTGAGAATCTACTGATTTGACCCAAGCAGATACATGCTAGTGAACTTCTGCCAAGATGCATTAGAAGTTCACACTAGCTCCAATACATGAAAAAGTACACTCCGTCAACTGTTCTGTGAACCCTTGAAAATCTACACCAGCACTGAGGACAGAGGTCTGTCTTAGACTAAGCCACAATAATCTCAATAGTTTCTCTAACCACCTGGCTTCAGCTGCATCATAAATATAATGAACAGTTGATTTATCACCCCCGATAGTAAATATACTTCCGGTTTAAAATCTCAAGCATCAAAAGAAGCTGAGACTCTGTGTGATGCTTGATATAACTAAATCACCTAAAGCATTCATACATTCATCCCAGATAGTAATGGGAAAGTGGAATGCAGAGATGGGTAAGGCGTGAGACTTTCCTCATTTATAAAACAGAGCAATTATCCACCTCATAGGGTTGTTGTAAGGGTTAAAATAGATGACATATAAGGAAGTGCTTGCCATATAGTGGATTATAAAATACCTTAACAGAGCCAAATCTTCAAGATATATTGCTTCAGCTCTAAGATGACCATTGTTAATATGCTTGTTAAGGGTCTAGTCCTTTTTTTTTGAATCAGACCATATGCTTGCTATCCAACACACCTTTTTTTTCCCCCATACAAAAATTTATACCTACATTGCTTTGTGACTCTGATTGCTCTCCTCATACTGTGACAGCACACTCCTCCCTTCTACCCCTCATTCGCCATGTCCATTCAACCAGCTCCTAACCGTCTCTGCCTTCCCATCTCACCTCTGGACAGAAGCTGCCCGTTTAGTCTCTTGTATCTACTTTAGCTAAGAGGCACACTCCTCACGAGTATCACTTTATGTCCCACAGTCCAGTCCAATCCCTGTCTGAAGAGTTGGCCTCAGAAACTATTTTAGTTCTGGGCTGATAGACAATCCAGGGGCCATGCTTTCTGGGGTTCCTCCAGTCTCAGTCAGACCATTAAGTCTGGTCTTCTTACTAGAATTTGAGTTCTGCACCTCACCTTTCTCCTGCTCCATCAGGGACTCTCTGTTGTGTTCCCTGTCAGGGCGGACATTGGTGGTAGCTGGGCACCATCTAGTTCTTCTGGTCTCAGGCTGATGAAGTCTCTGATTTATGTGGCCCTTTCTGTCTCTTGGGCTAATACTTTCCTTGGGTCTTTGGTGTTCTTCTTTCTCCTTTACTTCAGGTGGTTGGGACCAACTAATGTATCTTAGATGGCCACTTGCAAGCTTTTAAGACCCCACACACCACTCACCAAAGTAGGGTGCAGAACGTTTTCTTAATAAGCTCTGTTATGCCAATTGACCTAGATGTCCCCTAAAAGCATGGTC